ATAATCATGAGATGCGTTTCATGTGAGAACATGACTAGTCGCCACGGTGAAGGCGCCAATAGATTTCGACGTGAGACGGTGCACGTGCTCGCCAGCGTTCATTTCGTTGCGTCACGCTGGCGTTGCCATGCCAGGCTTTGGTCCTGCCATATACTCACAGGCGCGTGCTGCGCTGCGTTGCTTTGACGCATGAGCGTTTCAGTGCATCCGGCGTCTCTCAGTCGCAAAGAGAGCCAGACGCAGTGCCGTCTGGGTAACGCATCGGCGCTAAATGCAGCATGTCGCATTTCGCGCCAGTTGCCGTGAGGCTGCGCCGACGGAAGCTGTCCGCGCCTACCGTGAGACTATATAGTGCTCGCGTTTTGCTAACGTAGCGTAGTTGCATTCAGCGTGAGCGCGGTCAACGTTACCACGGAGTATATTGGGCCCTTCATGAAGCGCTCGTGTCCGTTTCGCTAGCTCCACATATACAAAATTTGGTGTTACGTGACGTCAAAGGATGGTGAAGGTATATAATTGGTGCAGACGTGATAATCAAGACACGCGTGTCATGTAAGAACATCACAACATACGGTGCTCATGAAGCGCTGGCAGCCGTTTCGATAGCTCCAGATATACCAAATTTGACAGCACATGACGTGAATAGACGACGAAGGTAAATGACACGTCTAAACATGTTAATCATGTCATGGAAGTCGTGTATGGCATAATTTACCTCCACCTCGTAACGTTGTGCTATTTTTAAAGTGACTTTCCCACTGTACGTGGGATCTATCAATTTTTTTTAAGGAATTCTACTTTTCACCAAATGTCTTCGTTGCGCTTGAACTGTTTCAAGTACAATGCGTTGTTTTCTGCGTTGTCGCCCCCAGAGCAGTGCTCAAAATCAGCATGCTTGTGTAGGTAGTTGAAGTCAATGTACACAAATTAATCGTTGCGCCAGTGTGACGCGTTCGTAACGTTTGTTTTACGGGGTTGTCAAAGGGCAGTCTGGGACGGCTGAATGCTCTCCCGTAGAATACGAGGCTTTCTAAATCGTTAAGCGATTATTCTAAGCGTTATGTGCGATCTTCTAATATGATTGCGCGCACAACACCAGTAGCTGATTAGGGGCGAAGCTCCTAAAGCCGTGAGTCATGCCGATAGTTATAGCGCGAGAACAATACGCCGACACAGAGACAAGAAGGACACGAAAGACACGAGCGCTGCCACACTTCTAAGTGAGTCATGCGTTCGCAACGCTTTGTCTGTAGCAGTATTCATCGTCGTCATCGTCGTCAAAATAGTATAGGTAGCCACATCCACGGCCGGATTCCTTAGAGGAGTGGCACGGGCGCACTCTTTTCAATTGAGGAGGAAACCCGCACACGTTAATCATAAATAAATGGATAATTGTTTGTGATGAACTAACCCACAGAGGCGTGTATCGTTGACTTAATCTTCAAAAAGAAAAATTGCCTTAATTTTGATGCTTACTGAAAAAAAAAATTAGTAACAAGAGGACGCACTTTGAGCACTATCTGACCAGTAAAGGTTTCCACTCGCTGAGCGTAACCTCCTTGGCTTCAGCAAGGTTTAGCGAGGCTGTGCCCCAGTGCCATGAAAAAGCGGTGGTGAACGGTGGGCAAATTGCAGGTCGTAAGAGAGCACCCGCTTGCCGCTCCACTAGCCCGACCATATCACCTCTCGTTTAGTCCTTGAAATGTCCGCTGGATGGCGGTACTTCTATATGATCAATATATGATTAAAAGATGCGAGATGGCGGTACTTGCAGGTTTCACTAGATTTACAGATGAATGGACAGACGCACGAACGGACGGACAGACAGATGGACGAACGCACAGATGGACGCATGGACGGACGGACACGTGGACGCATGGATGTATGGATGGACACAGATGCGCAGACACAGATGCGCAGATGCGCAGACAAACAGACGGACGTATGCATGGATGGACGCACGAATAGACGCATGGATAGACGGATGAACGCATGGATTGTCACACAGGCAGACGCACAGATGGACGAAATCAAGAACGAACGGACGGACGGAGGCACGGACAGACTGACGGACGCTTCGCCCGCTCATCATCATGCACTCCGTGGATATGCTGTGTTTTTTTTTGTGTGTGTGTGGAGTTGAAGCAAGTTCTAGCAACAACCCTGGAAGGTTTCAATTTGCATGGTGACTTGCTTCACCAACAATTATATCAGAATCGACCTATAATAAGTATGCTCACCGTTTCTATTATTGTTACCTGCGTGTACTTTGACTGCTGCACCAGTTTTTATGGGCATAAATTCACCCAACAATAAACTTAGTCTATTGCGCTTCGATTGCTTAACGATTCTTCATCGTCATAACGACATGACAAAATGTATACTTAAAACGGAGGCCACATACACAAGGAGGGCAGTCAGCCATGACTATGTGGTAGAAAACTTGAGTAGCTGTAGATACTAGGGGCAAGTGGTACATTGAACACTCTAAAGTGGCACTAGTTCGAAAATGGGGGTTCCGCGGAGCTTTCGGTGCTTCGAGATTTTCTATTTGTCGGGGTTCGCGCAACACATTCTCGGGGGAAAACGCGTGTTTTGGAGCTACACTCTGCCACAAAACAGTGAAACATTCCTGAATTTAGTATGCCTCACCGCTGGAACATACTTTGCCATGCGGCAGAGCTAACCTACGCTGAAAAAAATTAAAGTGTTTGAAAATCATACGCAGCTAGAAACTAGTTTAATGTCGCTGCTGATCATACAACGTAATCGCAACCTCTTTACGTCGAAATGACGTGACACTTTGGTTAGATCATTTTTTTTGCCAGTCAGGAATAAAAAACACCAATTTAACACTGCATGTTGCGTGAAATAATTACTCCCAGTTTCTCTCATTGCGAGGTGTCTCCCATCATTTCCAGTTCCACAAAGGCCCATCGAAATATTTATTGGCATAGAACCACTGCTCTAAATATTGGCCAGAAACCGCGTATTTGTAAAAATAATTAAATATAAGATATCAATTCTCGCATAAGGAATAAGTGACAGCACTGACTTCAAGGTAAAGAAGTCTGTGTTTCAAATATTAGACATTTTCGCATGATTTATGGGTGATGCGGCATCCGCCATGCTTGCAGACTTCTGAAGGTGAATGTGTCCTTCCTCAATTAATATGATCAAGAATCTCTAACATTGTCTTATATCATGCGAGTCCGCACTTAGCTTGACAAATACTAACGGCGAAACAATCCTACTACGCTTTTTCTCCTACTCAAACCAACCATATATACATAAATACGTTGATACATACATGCGTAAGTTTCCATGAACCATTTATTTCTTTTAAGGGCAAAGCTCCTCTAAGTCTAACCTTGTCACTAGTCACGCGTAACCGAGAGAAAAGGAGACAAGAAAGAAAAGAAGGCAGTATCTACCGAACAGTATAATGGACGGCGCTGTCTCATAGAAGTAAAAACTGCAGTTAAGTGAGGATATTTTAGAAGGCACTGTACCGCCACTTTCCTATTGGTTGCTGCGCGCGCTTTGCCAAAGTGCGCGGGGAACGAGTGCCTCTCTAGGTCTATAGATCGTCGCCGTACGTGTCGGATCGTTCGTGGGGCATGGACGAAGCAGAGCAGCGGGCGTGTTGGAGACGCTTGCACTCGGCTTCCTTGGCCCGCGTCTCATCGCTGTTACCCGCGCACTGTCTGCATTCTAGAACGCGATCGGACGCATAGACGCATGAACGAACACACGGACGAATGAACTGATGGACGCACGCACGGATGAACGGACACACGGACGAATGGACCGACGGACACATGCACGGAAAGACAGACAGACAGACAGACAGACAGACAGACAGACAGACAGACAGACAGACAGACAGACAGACAGACAGACAGACAGACAGACAGACAGACAGACAGACAGAGAGATGGACGTATCGACGTACGGACGGACGGATGGACAGAAGCACGGATGGACGTACGGATGCTTCGTCCCCACTCATCACTCACTCCGTTGGTATGCTGTGATTTTTTTCTTCCAGTTCAGCTTGCAAAATAAATAGCTACCATCTTAGGCTGCCCCGCTCCCACGTTTAATGCAACCCTTAAAGTGGACATGGAGAGAGCCGCCGTAGTAGCTCAGTTGGTAGAGCATCGGACACGTTATTTGAACGCCGTAGGTTCGGTCTCTGCCCACGGCACCTTATCTTTTCGTCCACATATTTTTCTTCACATTTACATTACAATCCAATTCTAACGACATTCTCTATATTTGGCATGATTGTAAGATCTCATTAACATTGTGTGTAACAAATAAAACGATCCCTTCTTTCCTTCATCGTTTTGAATGGTCACTTTAACGAGGAGCTTATGTTTGTAATGTACATTTAGATACAATGCGAGCATACTATAAATAATTATAGGTAAGGAAGTATGCATTGAGGCACCAGTGGGAACATTCATCTCAGTCCCACTTGGCTAATATTCGCATCGTTTGATCACGGGTTACATGTCACGAGGTTGAATCTCAGCCGCTACATGTAAGCTCATGTGCCTAAATTTACGTGCACGCTGGTAAAATGTTTGTAATCATCCATTAACACGTATCTTGCGGTCACATCGGGGTGTTGGAACATAAGATCACAACAATTATTAGCTTCATATGCATGTAACTGGCCAAGCTCCCTGTTCCTCATTTCTTTTGCTCCTTTGATACGCGTCTATTAGGACAAAGTTTACAAAATAAAATGATATCGCTGGTAAGTTGCTTGCCGAAATTTCTAATATATTTTGCAAACTGCTAGAACTCTTTTATGTCTCGTAATATTCCATCACACGCAGCTTACATCAGCATTCCCGGAGTTGTGTTGCAACGTTTTCCGTGATACGTAAAATTTGTTTGTACAAAATATACAGCTGAACCTTAATGTTTCTACTTGTGCACACAAACTACACTCATCATGAATCAAACACAATATTCACTCACGCGTGTTCGTAAAGTAAAACAAGCATTTATTACAAAGAAATATACATGTCGCAATCTCTTGATGCATTGCGACCTCTGACACTTAATTCATTACAAAGAAACGATTTTATTTCAATACACACTAAAAAGTTATAACAACGCTGTTGCAAAAATGGTGTCCGAGCGTCTCACGCTGTGACCACCGTATTAAGCACAAAGTGGGTTTTCTTCCCATCACATTTCATATACATGAAAATGTTGCAGGCATTCCTTGGAGACCTTTAGAAGGACATATATCGAAGTGCTTCTTCACATCGATGAGTGGCTGAGTTCGAACGCCCAATTGGGTCTTTTAGGAGCCAGTCGCTCACTGCTAGCTTTTTTAGTAGCTTGACCGTAGTTGCAAAGCTCCTGGAGTATTCCTTATGAAGAAGCATGACATCTGCAAATGCTGGCCCTCATGTGACATGGTTGTAGCGACACGATGAATCAGACAGCATCAGGGACGACAGGCAAGTCACAGCTTCTAGCGTTTACATCCATCGTCGTGAGTCGCTGCTCACCCGCTAATGATTCTCGGTAGCCGGACCTCTGTGAACTGCCAGGTAGCCATATGGTCATTTGAACAGGATGGTCTAAATATTGTCAATCTGTTACATAAGCGTTGCAAGCCTTTGGGGGGAAATTTGACCCTGAATTGACAGGGAATGGTGTGCTATCATCGTATCTGTTAAGTGGTCTCATACCCCGTGTAGAGAGGTTGCTTCACTCCCAACTCACCGTCTTCAGAGACTTCTGAAATTAAAATGCGAAACAAGTGTCAGAAGTAAAAAAAAAAGAAAAGCATATCGTGTTCGTGCAAATGAACCTTCGCTTCAGAATTATCTTATGGCAGAAGAGACTATACAGAGACGCAGGTTTTGTGTCTAATGGCTGCTGATGTTGACTTTATGTACAATGTTAAATCAGAGAACACACACCAGACATTGAATAATGGAAATGATTTTTCACTCTGATACTGTCGTTCTGGCTTCTGAAAAATAAGTTTTAAATTGCACACGACATCATACCAAAGTGCACCAATGATATCTGTGAATACAGAAATGAACGAATAACAAATTGAACGTGCGCATTTCCAGGAACCGCGTGTGTGAACAGTTCCCTAAAGTACTAGCTGGTGCCGTTATTTGAACTCAGTCTAGCATGCTGTACTTAAAACAGCAGCCATAACGCTATTTATTTATGTTCTGGAAGTTGTGGAACCTGTCAGCTGCATTTAGTTTTGACTAAACTTAGTGTAGACTGAACGTTTAGTTTCGACAGCAATTCACGGCCGAAAATAGATATTAAGGGTGAAGCATTTCTTTGCGTACTGCCGGCAATATTTCTACCTATCTATCCATCCATCTATCTATCCATCCATCTATCTATCTATCTATCTATCCATCTATCTATCTATCTATCTATCTATATCTATCTATATCTATCTATCTATCTGTGGGCTCTCTTGATTCTCCGCCTCCGCTAAAGTCGGGGTGAAAAAAATTATTATGAAAAGGTATGATGGTTTGGCGAGTATGACTGACTGGTCATGACATGAACATTGGGACGATCTCGTCACGTACGTCGTCAAACCATTTGGGCCAGACATGTGAGGCAAATACCTGTATACCATGGGCCAGTATGTGCCAAGGTATGCGTGTATGTGCCATAACATAGAAGTACTTGTTGTTGGACTAGTTGGTTCGTCATACTGAGGGGTAATTCTAGACGCCTAAAGCACCACAGGAAGAAATAATCACAGAGAAAGAACGCTCTTTCTCTGTGATTATTTCTTCCTGTGGTGCTTTAGGCGTCTAGAATTACCCCTCTGTTTGCCATAACATATTGACAGTTTAAGTGAACCTGTGAATGGCGAGAATAGACATTGGTGTATTTAATGCTATGGCGTTAAGAAAAAAAAGCACAAGTCGGCACCGTTGACCCATTGCATGCAAAGAATAAACATCAGGGCCGCAGCAGGAATCCAACCTAATCATTCGGCGTGGCAATGAAGTAGTCTACCATAGAGCCATGCTGGGTCTCGATACTGGTTCAGTAAAAGGCCCAATACAGGTGTAATGCTGGTGAAACGTAAATGGTGGTTGCAATGCTGATTGTCACATTTGATAAACAATACGTACGTACTCTTATCATACAGCCGCCATGTCGAGTTAACGTCAATTGCAGGTAAGTGCAATCCACTGAAGTTGATTTACGTAGCATTCTCCGGAGCTACCATCCACATGAGCGCAAGCGCTACATGTCAGCTTACCGCTTCTGATGTTGCAAACACTCATGTTGCTGTTGGCATCGTTACCACAAAGCGTAAAAAACTGGTTATATAAACCATATGCTACTGTTGAACATATGTCTGTGCGTACATCTCTACATATCGTTAGCGTCATCTCGGAACGTTTTACAATACATTCACCTTCCCTCAGCACGCTTCGCATAACGTTGATTCTCAAGTTACGTGGGATCTGTCGATATTATACAGTAGTTTTGCTTATTACAAGCTTACGTCATCTGTTTCACTTTTTCTCTTTCATTTTTTTGTTTTATTATTACTAGGCTAACAAAATAAAGAATATTTATCCAAAACTTATTCGACATCTATGGCGCATTAAATTGCTAGTATCTGTGTACAGTTGAACACCTCAACAGCCAAAGCCCTCAAAAACGAAATATGGCAACATTGCAATCTCACGTTCCCGGCAAACGTTCAATGCCCTTGCTGCCTCTCGACAGCGAAGAGCATTTCAGAAAACACAAACGCGATAACGATAAGTTCAGGTAGATCCACTATCTTTTCAGCTCATAAGCCGGTTAAAAACCTTGAAGATTAAAAACTGCAGCACCGCCCACTCGACAAGTAGAACACATATTTCCACAAACAAGAAATCGGTGTGACCATTGCTTTCTGCATTAACTTCAACAGCAGCAAGACTTTTTTCTTTTCTTCGCTGAGAACAGTCTTATTCAAACGCCCTTGTGGGCAACAACATTGGCCCATGACGTATACAAGCGACGACGCACACGAAAGTCATGTCATGCTGACACTTGCGTAAATAATTGCTCCAGCATGTCACCCACGATTTGCTTACGTGCAGTGTCGCTTGGCCTTGACATAGACAACCCTAATTGGGTGTCCGCAGCAGCTCTGCGGACGCAGCCTGCAAACCATTTCTACTCGCAGGCTGCTTACGCATAGCTGTTGCAGACGCTGAACTAAATTTTCTATGTCATCCACACTATATTCGACGCCCATGATGACAACAAAACTATCCAAAGCTTACCGACACGAGTCGCGAGCAGTCAACCTTCTTCAAAGCAATGGGAAGCAAAGCAATATCGGCAACCTATTTAAATAATTTTCATAGTGCGAAGTATTTCGACTGCGTATTTTCTTTTTACACGACAATGAAACTCGCACAATAACGATCAAAAACCAATTCCTCGGCAATAGTGTTATTGAAAAGTTATGCTGCATATGCTGCTGCAAGAGCATGTAAAGTGAAGCACAGTGAATTTCTGTGACTAACAGCCACTGGTGACGCCGTCAGTAACTTTTGAATGAAATTAGGTTGTTACTTCAAACCAGAGTAACTAGTGTAATCGGTGAGTGCATGTTTGTCTCGGTGCTTCTCAGAAGCAGACGGTGCGAAAGAAAACACTTGCCAAATTGTTCCGTATACTCTGCTGCAGGATTTACTTCATCAGTGGTCGATCTCCAGTAGGCTTCTGCAAAATAAGCGCATCAGTTAGGAAACCAGTGCCACCGCTGTCTTGAGAGACCACATTATACTGCATGGTAGCCGCACTTTTGTTTAATCCAGAAAAGCGCTGCCTACCCGGAATATGTGCTTCGCCGTAGCCTTGTCGCTTCGGAATCATCTTTGGCACGTGACCGGCATTGAAGGTGAGCTTGGCTCCTGGCTTGCGCACTGCATGATCCTGGAAATGGCTGAGTGGCATATGATGGACTGCAGGATATTTCTTCGGTGGGGGAGCGTGGTTGGGTACGGCAGCATTCTGTGGGTGGGGAACCACTGGCGGGAAGTGCAGTTGGGAAGTGTGAGCCTGCTCGTCCACGTGGCGCTTGTGGCCTCCGTGAGCTGTGGCTTCGTGTCCCGGCCGTTCGAGCGCAGGATGTTCGTGTCCCGGCTTTAGCACCATCACTTGATGTGCGTCGTGTGGTCGCTTCATAGGTAGATAATAAGGTCCCTTGTTTCGGTAAGTGTGTGCGGCGTAAGGAACGTTCGACGCAGCGGGATACGGCGGCTGATAAGCTGACACCTGTGCATAATTGTGTTGGGTCCCGTACGGACGAGAGTACGTGGGGGATGATGGATAAACACGTGGGACTTGGTATTGTGAAACGTAGATTACGCGCTGCGGTGGCCTATATCTTGGCGGGTGTGCTGGATAGTATGCGGTATGCTGGACTTGCGGATAAGCAGGCACACTGACGGGAGCGTATGAGGGTTGGTATAAAAGATCATAAGGTGTTTGCTGGTAACTGACATAGGGCTGCTGATACTGGTACGTGGGACCCATGTGCTGGATTGGCTGGTAAGGTGACGGAGGCCCTGGCATATAGCTCGTGTGAGCGGCTGGCTGATAAACTGGCTGAGGTACGTAAAAGACCGTTTCACTCGGTTGATGATAGGGGGGTGCTTGATAAGGCTGGTAAGGTTGATAAGCTGAAGGTGGTTGATGTGGAGGGTTCGGGTGATTCGTTGTCTGAGCGGGGGGGTAGACTACGGCCTCCTTTGGTGGCGCCGCTGAAACAAATGGTTAGAAACAATTTGGAATAACAAGATAACGCAGCGAGAAAATTTGTTCACGTGCAACATTCATTAAACTTTCTGTTAAAGTGATACAGAGGCCATAAGACATTTTTTTTAGTTTCTTCCAGGTAATTTTTAGTGCAAAAGGGCAGCGCTATGTTTCCTCGGAATGCAAGTATACCATCGTTTTTTTTTCGCATAAAATAATGTCTTTATAAATTCAGACATGACATACTTCCCAATTCGCACTTTGAAACAAATAATTTATAAAGACATCTATTAACAGGCAGCAACCTTCCAGTAATTTAGGTTTAGAGCGCTAAGAATTCGACCTCGTTAGGATTTAGGCTTTCAGTTACGGGCTTGTATCAAAGCCAGCCTACTACACAAACGTTAATGAATTCATTGACGGGATTACTCAGCGGGTACGCTACCTGCACATAATATCGAAATGCATAGTCGGCTCATCATTAAAGATCTGCTGATTAAGTTTTAAAAAGTACAACATACTTGCCAACATACAAACCTAACCACTGAAAACCAGTTCTCACAATGACACCAGTTTCACATGTTCAGGCCTCTGTATGAAAATAAGTCACTTCAGAATATGACTACTTCACGAACCTCTTGTAAAATATTCCTAGACCCGCATGACGGCAATGGATTGTTGAGCAGTTCGTAGGAAGGCATGCTGTCCGCAGGACATGTTTTTTTCGCCAAGTTCTATGCATGGTACATCAGCGCTTTAATAGAAGCGGACCTCAAATGGGGACGCCCAGAATTCTCGAGCCTCAGAAGTTCAGAATTTCTTCCTGTAGCAGATAGGCCTTGATTTCGAGCTTGTCGCTTACAGTTCATAATGTTTCTATTCCTTAAGATCGCCTCAACCGAGCACGCATATCGTTCAAGAAGTTCCAAAGCATTGGGATATTTGGCTTGCGTACGAGCAACCGGGCTTGGTGGCTGGTTTCCTGGTCCACAGTAGCAGAGCAACTAAAGCCAGTGAGGCTTTAGTTGCTCTGCTACTGTGGCTTACTAGAGGCCCCGACTACATTACATTATCACGTCATCTCGTTCGATTTTTTTTTCCCTCTCGGTGTTAAGCCTAATGTTTGAAAACGTGTGAAAAAAATTGTTCAGTTTATCTCTTCATTATTTCCACCTATGCGAAGAATTCTGCTTGAAAATTCTAGTTGAACTAGGGGCTACTGTACAGTCCCGAAAAATGACATACATAATTCCTAGCATACACAAGCTTTGGCAGCGTGTATATAAAGACAGTCAGTATTATGTTAAGATTAAGAGAGCTTTCAGCATACAAGTAACATATGAATGCATTATTCTCTAGGAACATTTCCACTGATTCCATTGCTCTGTAGAAATAATTTTCTCTGAAGGCTAATTTCCAAAACGCACATTTTGGAGTAAGCAATTTGAATTGCTTCCTGTGGGATATTTCATGCCTACAAGCATGCTAAAGAAGTAATAATGGTTCGAGGTACGATTATGTTTGCAGATATTATGCCCATTCGTCTATTTCTGGTAAACTTTTACAGTTATTTATGTCTTAAAACTCCATCCTTGTGCAGTAGTGACCACAGTAATAATAGGTCATTCGAAGTTCATTACCTGAAGCTTTACCAAAGGCTAGACTGTTCTTGCATTAATTCCCAACATAACGTGGTCAATAATCGATCGCACGACATAATGTTTAGTACGCCTGATAGTACGCCTGCCACATGACACGCGTAATGTCAATCGCAGCGATTGACATTCAAAACGAATGTCTTTGCGATCTTGCATTCCGGCTCTACACGGCTATTTGAAATGACATTCGTAATTGATGTCAATGTTTATCGGTGGGCTGCTATGATACCAAAAAGTTACAAATCGCGCATTTAACTTGCATAGCATTGTCCGGCTGGTTCAAAATATACTGCGACGTATTAAAACAGCACCAGTAGGACAGAAAAAAAAAACGCCAGGCCAGTGCGTAAGGCGAAGCCTGCCTAAGGCCTGCCTAATGCGTAAGGCACAGTCAAGCGAAAGCTAGAAAAGCGGCCTTTCAGAGCCTTTTCTCAACACTCATCGGGGTACTACTGCAATCACACTTGCTTGATACCTACTACGACATTGATTGATTGATGGATTGCTATGTGGGGTTTAACGTCCCAAAACCACTATATGATTATGAGAGACGCCGTAGTGGAGGGCTCCGGAAATTTAGACCACCTGGGGTTCTTTAACGTGCACCCAAATCTGAGCACCTACTACGACATTATTATTGAATTTTTTTGGTAGTAAGCCGGAATTCACTATGCTATTTTTGCCATTTTTTTTTCTGAGAAGTGCGGTAGCCGCTAAACACTTTCAAGAAATTTCGTGCCAATTGCTCAAGCCGTGGCTGACGACGATGAGGAATTATGGCTGAAGTGGGTAGGCACCACAGTTAATTGGTGAACAAGAAAATGCTTTTGTAATGGGTTGGAGCATTGAACGACCCACTGGTTCCGCTATTCGCATTGTGCGACGACTGGGTGTTCTTTCGCTGTTTTAAAACGCTTTATAAGTCATATTACCGTGATTGCTTTCCCGACATCAAGCCTGCCTAAGGCAAGTTTGCCAGTAAGTCCCAAGCATCGGAGAGGCTCAGATTTAGAATTGTGGGATGGCAACCAGTGGACCCTGTTTCAAGCCCCACCGTGTCATTGGCGCTAGTTTTTTTTTTTAATTTCGTGCTATGTGGTTACGAGCACCCGCGGCGGTGGTGGACAACTTCGATAGGGCGAGACCTGAGTTGAGATCTCATCGCAACTTTCGCTTTAAAACATTTTCGTACATATCAAAAGGAAGACTAGCTCAAAGCCGCTCCCAACTTGCAGACGACAATGTTTGAAACTGCGACAGCGTTCACGAATGTGTGACCGCCATGAATGGTGATCAGTGCAAACGAACGTTAATTTCTCTCCAGCTGCTGCGAATGAAGCATCAGAACAGACTGAAGCGCCTCAACGAAGACAAGGAATTTGGAGCTGCACCTACATGCCAATTCGTTTACGTTGGCTGCCCTTTGGGTTCCCACTTCATGAGCGATTAACAGGAAACTGGTTTGAAAACACTCTCCCTAAACTGGTGTTCGACACGTGCGTGCCTGATACTAGCGAGCCTAACGCGGAGACGCTGCACTTAAACAGCAGTGAGCGGGTGTAAGAATGGCAAGTCAGAGACTGAGAAAAAAATATACAGGAAGAAGTTTTTCTACTGTCATATTGCACGTTAAAACGTTGCCTAAAAGTTAACCACATCCTTTAATAAACGTCTGAGCATCGTTTGCATCTGCTTTATTATGTCAATTTTGCGATCTCTTGTCAAGTGCCTGTTGACAAGCGTACACATGTCGCGCTTCCATGAGTTTAGTAAACACATTCAAAGGGTGAATGACATTATGTGTGACTGTCATTCGCTATGGCCGTGTAGCAGCAACAAAATGGCATTAACGCCTAATGTCACTCGCTGCGAGTAAGATCACAGGTGCCGTGTGTCAGGGGTATAGGCCACCACCATGCTTGGAATTTGCTTAACTTTCACAAACTGCCACTTATTAAAATCATTGACCCAAACACTGACTTTGTGCATCAGGTTCTTGCTTTTACTATACCACAAAGAAGCATTCATTATTGTTATAAACAGCACAGCAGGTGAGTTTATCTTACCTGGAACAACTTGGCCTGGTTTGGAGTCCGGAACATCTCCTTCAGGTACCACCTCTACAGTTACGTTTTTAACCACTAGCACTGTTTCTTCGCCTTTGTCCTTTTTAGCGTCGTGCGGTTTGCCCTCTGGAATAACCACATCAGTTGGCTTTTTCTCTGGCTTGTCATCAATCGAAATGTGTGTTTCGGATTCTGTAGTCTCCACCATTTTTGTTGGTGCAGGCTTCTTGACCTCCTCTTTGCCTTCTTTCTTGTCTTCAACAATCACTACAGTTTCTGGGGCTTTGCCTCCTTTCGCCTCTCCACCATCCTTACCAGCACTTGGTGGACCAGGAATTTTCGGAACATCACTTCTCGGAATTTCAGGTTGGCTTTCCGACCTGCCTTCGCTATCTTTGTTGGTCACTGGCATCACGATGGCAGGTGGATTCTGCTGCTCCGATCTGGGTGCTTCTGGGCTGCCATTTTCTTTACCTGGCGCATGCGCTTTATTCTGTTCTGCTCTTGGAGGCTCCAGCTGACTAGCTTTGTTGTTTCCGCCCGCTGGAACGTCTGAGCTTCTGGGTGCCTCCACCGGCTCATCTTCCCGACCGGCTTCACCACCAGTAGCCTTCGGCTGTTCTGCTCTTGGAGATTCTGGCTGACTCACTTTGCTGTTTTCTGCTGCACTTCTGGGCAATTCTGCTGCCTTATTTTTAGGATCACCTCCCCAGCTACCACTAGCTTTTGGCTGTTCTGCTCTTGGTGATTCTGGCTGACTCGCTTTGCCGTTTCCCGCTGCAGGCGCTTCTACGCTTCTGGGCACTTCTGCTGCCTTATTTTGAGGATCACCTCCCCCTCCAACACTAGCCTTTGGTTGTTCTGCTCTTGGAGATTCTGGCTGACTCGCTTTGCTGTTTCCCGCTGCGGGATCGTCTGAAATTCTGGGTGCTTCCGCTGGCTTATTCGGAGGCTCAGCTCCTCGACCAGATTCGCCACCACCAGCCTTCGGCTGTTCAGCTCTCGGCAATTCTAGCTCAGTCACTTTGCTGTTTTCCGCTGCAGGAGTTTCAGCACTTCTGGGCACTTCTGCTGCCTTATTTGTAGGATCACCTCCCCCACCTGCGCTAGCCTTTGGCTGTTCTGCTCTCGGAGATTCTGGCCGAGTCACCTTGCTGTTACCCTCGGCGGGAACCTCTGAAATTCTGGGAACTTCCACTGGCTTTGGCGCCTCAGCTCCCCGACCTGCTTCACTACCGCTGGTCTTCGGCAGCTCTGCTCTTGAAAGTGCCGGTTGACTTGCTTTCTCTGAATCGGGCTTGTCCCCAGCCCTTGCCATGAGATGATCAACTTGAGCAGTGTCAGGAGGTACACCTTGCACGCCAGCTCCATCGGATACCTCCAGCGTGGGAGAGAGAGACCCTGACTGACCCGCTTGTGGAATGGGATTTCCGCGGCCTGCTGCTAACAGCTGTCTCCCTGCTCGTCCCTCGGTGAAACGATAACAGGTGAATCCCTAGGTTTCTCAGCTGAGGCACTCGCTGTCAGTCCATCCATATGCTCTCCGTATGAGTCATCGGGTTTCTTCTGACTGTCACTGTTAGCAGTATCAACCTTCACGTCTCCGGAGGTCATGTCTTCCTTTCCGATGGGTGCCATGTATACGGCTCTTCTCTGACGTAACCCCCTCAATCTGTAGCCATTCCATGACTCCTGAACAATAATCCCTTCGCCTGCTGTGACACTTTGTTCCGGTAGTTTCCTTTGCTGGTGTTGTTGTGGAGTACGTAGCTCGGTAATATAACATCCTCAGACACGACCGTCGTGATAAGTAGCAGCGGTCCCTGTTTCTGTCCCTGACGACATGCCTGACAGAACGGTGTGGCCTTTTGAGTCGTCACCAGTTGTGTAGACGTCCAGTTTGACTTCAGGGCTTGAAGGTGGGTCACTAGAGCTACTGGACGACATTGCCGCCGCACGTAGCCTGCTCGGAACTTCGTCATCCGTGTCATCGGCTCGGGCCTCGATAAGTGATTCAGAAACCGAGCCGAAGACGCTCACGTAAGGTGCTGGCGTGCTAAATATAGCTGTTTGTTTAGGAAGGGGTGTGACGCTAGCACTATCCCGGCCTTTGGTAGCCAGTTCAACGGTATCGAGGTCGTCATTGAACATCTTCCAGAAGTACTTTTCCTTTGGTAACTCTGCCGCCTCTGTTTTTGTCTTGTTTTCTTCAGACGCCGCGAAGTCTGTCATGGTATCTTTACCGTTTCCATTGTCGACAGGTATCATAATCATAGCGAGTACCGCCACTCTGTTCATAGTTCGTTGCTGTTAGTAAAGGTCGGTGCAATAACGCTGCAGATGTGCCGGTTGCATCACTGGCTTCGTCCGTTTGTTTTGTTTCTTGATCCACTTCTGTGCTTTCAGGCGCGCCATAATGGAAACCGTCATAATGAGAAGAATCGTATGGTATCGGCCCTGCTGAATAGATAAAAACAAAACGGGGTCGTTCAATTAGCCGTGAATGGTGCAGATATGAACTATTCAACTTTTGCTAAAAACGAAACTTTCACCTACTGTCATTCACCTGTGTGAGACAAGAGTTTCAGAAATTGCTTATAGTATCCTTTGATTTCCACAGAGGAACTTTCAAGGCTAGTTCCGACCACACAGGCTTGCAAAAAGAAGAAAAGTTCAATCAAGACAGAACGCAAACTAGAAAGTATAGCTTTGCTACAAAATAACCGCAGTATCACTCACCCTAACTTAATGAATAGAATCGAGAGATGTCAGCATTACCTTTCCTCAACATTACTTGAGCACGCTTGTGAGGAACTATTTGTGTTTACAGCAAAGTATTGTTGTAGCAAGTAGTAGTAGTAGTTCGAAGGAAGAAAGAAATTGGACATCTATAAATACAGTAGAGGACATGTAATATTTCAAATTTTCTATATATCTTGCGTGAAGCACTATTAATAACGCATGGCATGTTAAGTATAGTGCCTTACAAAAGTTGATGTTCTCCCTGTATTACACGCTATTCACAGGTATAACAATATCAAACTATGAGGAGAGGCTATCGTCATTTCACAGGCTGCATGGGCAAAGCTGTAAACGCCAGTTCACTAATCACGTCAGCAAAATTGTGTCAAGAGCGCACAAACGAGGGCAAACAGGCTTCAGTAGATCACAGTGCACATTTAATGGTATAATGCTAAAGTGGTGAACGGCGCAGGTACGCCTGAGGCAACATTTATTATCACCTGTCACCTCAACGCATCACCGAAACGTGAAGATAACACCGCAGCAAATACTAGATAAGGAAAGCTTGTAGTCAATAGTCGTACATTTGACGGAATGGTTACGAAAGAAATAAATGACAACAACCTGTTGGTAGATCAGAGTCTCAAGAAAAATTCATGCAGATTTCTGAAATGAAAGCTTCCTGGTTAAAGATAAGTACTGGCTGGTCCGGGGATCGGAACAGTAATCAGAGGCTTTCAGGCATGGTGGCTTCGGAAAGAAATCTGTTTGAATTTCTTTTTGCCGCCTTCGTGCAATAAATGAGTTGTCAATTATCTGTCTCGTAACCATTCGGCCACTCGTTTCTGAAAAATCGGTATGGATTTCCTTGGTATAATAAGGACAAACGGCTGATTATTCGTGATATCTTTCATATTGTGCTAGCAGTACCTTTCAAACTGTCTCCAGGCCAGAGATTTAATCGTTCTGCTCCTGCTGGCACCTTGTTGATGGTTGCTACTAAATCTAGACGATACGCTCAATGCAACATTGAAAGAATAGATGACGGAGAAGAAAGATGTGAGGAATATCTAGCTGATGTTTACCTTCTGAAGTGAATGCGTTGTCCGAAGATGACACTGCTTCCGTTGAAGATCCGATCGGAAAAGCCTTTGCTGTCATCGCTGTTGGCAAGGCTCTGGCACTGGTGATGATGAGCGCGAGTGCTGAAAACGTTTTGGGTATAGAGCGATTAGCCTTACTTTTTTAGTATTTATAACGCTGGGACGCACTCTATGGGGACGCACTCTTCTCTTAGAAAGCCGAGTACATGTCATTAAAACTTAGCGGATGACTAGAATTGTCCATCGCAAAGAAATATTTTTAATTATTTTTTTCTTTTTCGCACTAAGACTGTACTAAACGCTTTTTCTTACGTACGACTGCAGACAAAACGAGAAGAACTTTGCTGATCCCACTCACTGTGAAAATCTGCGTACATGAAGCTGTCCTATGAATGTGTGAACATTCTATAAACGACTGTTCTTTACGCACAGGGACAGAGGAAACAGGGAGGCAGCAGGCTGGCAGTAACTGCCACATACAGCGATAGGGGCATGTGGTTAGAATTTCAGGGAGAGGAAATGTACAGGGTGTTCCGACTATCACGCACAAAGATGTTTTTTTAATAAGAACGGCAATACGCGTAGCACACATAGCGCATATTGTTCCTTGTTGAGCGCAGTAGCCCCAAATAACATTTAGTTAAGTAGTTTCAATTAGTTTAATATATTTTTGTAACTTCAGAGATACTTAATTCTCAAATTGTCAATGATACATATCTAGGTATGTTCAAATTACATCAAACTGCGCTGTCTTTAACAATGTGCTGATTGCGTGCTCATGTTTTCAGTTTAATAAAAAAAAGCCCGAGAAATCAGAAAAAAAAATTCAGCATACTAGAGTGCAGGGTGCATCAGGAAGCATGGCCCTCAAACACGCGCAAGAAAAGAACATGCAGAAGAAAAAATGCGCATCGGCATATTTGCCACTTCCGGGCTGAAGAAACGCGTCACTTTGGTCTCATAGTAGCGGCTGTAATCAGAGCAGTGCTCGGGTTGTGCTATCAATGAGAACAGTGGGACGTGAGACATGGACAGTGATAGTGGCGTATAATCGAGTCGAAGCAATCGCTGCAAAAAATCGGGAAGAATGCTGTGGGTACTCGTCCTTTATACTTTCTAAAACGCGGAACATTGCCTGTCAGGTCTCTGGTATAACGGACAGCAGGTAAAGCAGCCGCTTGAAGTAAGCTTAATTGATCGCACTGCTTTTTTTTTTCAAGTCGCCGCGAAGTTAAGCAATTTTTTCCCCGCTTCGCATACTTCCCTTATCAGCCGAAAATATTGAGCTGGCAATTAGTATATGTTGTTGACAATAGCACGATTAGATGTCATTTGAACATGCCTACACATATGAGTAGTTGTCAATTTGCCAATATAATTATGTATAAATCACTAACCTCGTTAACGAGGAAACGAGTAGTAGCCTGTGTACTGGAAAGAATATGTATACAAGGTATGGTTTCAATAACGTCGTTCAGTTTAAATCCTGCTGCGCGATAATTGAGACACCCTTGAAAGGAGAAATGGAACTTCTTATCCGTAGACAGAAGCCCTATTCATCGCGTTACTTTCTTGAATGGAATAGAGGAAGTGAAGATGCAAGGAAAGAACAAGCGAATAAAAATCTGCAGTAAACAAATGACGTAGGCTCTGACAACATTAAGAGGTAACCTGTGGGAAAATGCTTATAAAAGGGAGGAGGGCGGAGGCTAATCAATTTTGTACAAGAAAGAAAACGGGATTCTGTGGGCCTGCTAACGCGGAATCAACACATACTCTAGAAAATAGGCCGTCGGCAAGGTTCGCACACTTCAATTTAGCTGATTATATATATATATATATATATATATATATATATATATATATATATATATATATATATATATATATATATATATATATATATATATATACCTTTATTACCAGAAACTACGATATGATTATGAAGGACGCTGTACAGTTGAGGAAATCGGGAATTCGGACCATCTGCTGTTTTTAAAGTGCACTGAGATTGCACAGCACACGGGTCCAGAAAAAAAATGTGTGTTATGCTGGCGTGCTTATTCACCGATATCCCCTTGATCGGCACGCAATCCAGCGAATGACACAAGCCAATGTGGCAGCGCCCCAAAGTCACAAGCGCATTTGATATAAACGCTACTCTCGATTCTGAATTGTTGGTTATCGGTGAATAGCATGCTACCCGCAATTTGACGTCGAAATTCGACCTCGCTATTTGACGTCGATTTGACCGGCTATTTGACGGGCCCCAAAAGCTGCGAAGCGACCGAAGACCAGTTCTCGTACGAAAAAAGGCCCATCGAAGTGCGACCACCGCCGCAGGTACCGAACCCGCAACCTGCGCGCGTCAGGACCTGAGCACCATAACCGCTGCACCAGCGCAGCGGCCAACAGACGCTGTATTTTCGTGGAGACGGAACTCTACGGGACAGTGCTAGATGCCGGCTTTAGAATGTCTGGCGCATGCGCACGAGCTCATCACCATTCTTCGGAGTGTTTCCTGTATACGTGAGTTGGCTCCCCTTCTCTAAATATTTATCCCTTTCCTCCTCTTCCACATTCAAGTTGTGTGGAAGGCTGTTCGACGCATTGATTCGGGAGGCGTTGAAGCAATTGACCGCCAGGACTGGATATTTGCCGTCGCAATCATTTTTTATGTAATTTGTAACGTAGGCCGGTTACGGAGCTATAATGGGTCATCGTTACAGCCAAGGGCCCAGGAGGTTTCATTTTGGTTACAGCACACCTAAAGAAAAACCCACTAACTTCGACAATCATTGAAGTATACCGTCAGCGTGTCTTATAACTTCGAATAGAAATCTATTTTTGGACATTGATTGCTCGCCCTCTGACAATTCCCACTTATTCATATTTCCCTTCTATTTTTACTGTTCTGAAGCAAGCGGACTACTCGCTCATCGAGTAGTTACGGGGCTTGGCTACTAACTCAAATGTAGCGGGTTTTATCCGAGGAGGTTTTACTAAAACTATAACCTCCTTGGTTTGATTCTAGCCACGGTGTCTGTTTCCCTCTAATGGCTCGTGCACTTGGACCTACGCCAGAGTGCAGCTGCCTCATTTTCGATGAAGGCGAAAATGCTTGAGGACCGTGTGCTTGTATTTGAGCGCACGTTAAAGAACCCCAGGTGGTCGAAAATTTTGGAACCCTTCACCGCGGCGCCTCTCATAATCATATGGTGTCTCTGCTACGTCAAACCCCAACAATTGTTATAGAAACCCCAGATAGACGAAATTTACAGAGCTCTCCGGTGTGGCGTGCCTAAATCATATTGTGGTTCTGGGCGTTAATCTCAGAAGTTATTATTTGCAGGATATGCCGAGAAACACGGCGTTATATTGTTAACCAGAGTGAAAAAGTATATAGGTATCGCCTTGTAGCATTTTTCGGTACATCCGTGCCACTTTCTTTACGCCTGACGTTACACTCACTGCTTATCAGAGGGGTACAACATGGCCGTTCATCTGACGACAGACAAATTGGAAAATAAAGATATTGTGCATTGTGGCCGTTTTATATATTTAATCTCGGCTCTAGGTTCGCTGTTTCTTATAGCCTGCATCTAACGTGACTAAGCCCCTGATTTTCCGCACCAGGGGCGTTGCATGCGTTGCTGGCAAATAGGCCTCATTTTTTTATATATTGTGCAGATGACAATTCTTCTCAGTTAGACTGCATCCAGTGCAGGCAGACTGGCTTTCATAAAGGTTGGTTGCATAAAAGGAAAAACGAACTAGCCGAGACGTTCACTCTTCCAAATTTAGTATGCAAATGTGTTAGCGATCAGTTTGTCACGGCATTTGTAGTACCCTCTTGAAGTCACTTATGGTAAACTGACAGCTTGACGTGTTGGCACCGTATACACCCATAGTGAAGTGCTACAAATAACACAGCGTTACTTGTAGTGGTTCAATATTATGAGCACTCAATTACACTAACATAATACGTGCGCCTGTGGCACGAAGTAAAAGGAATTGCGAAGGTCAGGCGTTTATATTTTCATTACTCGTAGTGATACTTCAACACTGACACCTATGAATGAGCTCTTAATAAGAATAGAAATAGATAAATTGCCTTTGGTTCACGAGACCTGACTGCTCAAAGGGTGTACGACCTCTCAAAATGCGATGGAACGTCATACATGTTTAAACGAGTTTGTTGAAGACAACACATCGCATTTTTGTATATTGTAATCATTTGTTAAGCACGTCTTCATCACCTGCACATACAACATCATCACGAGGTGGGCTTCATCTTCATCGCTTGTGGGGACACATCTGGAGAGGTTGTTCTGTGCCTCTGATGTGACTGGTTCTCTGCATCTTTAAAGCGTAATGAAGGGCAGTGATGTTCAATGTTGTAATATATAATTAGGGTCGTTTTCCCTCCTCGAGTCGTAATACTGAATTATCAACATGTTATTTAGGTACAACAGCCACTATTACTTAGATTGACCGAGTATATTTATTTTTCAATATAGTCACTAGTCAATGTTGTAGATTCTACTACCGTATTATTTTTTGGTTCTATAGGAGTATTGCGCGAGAGTGGAAAATATTACATTCTTACTGCGGCTGAGTGGCCAATCACAATGTTTGAGTTGTATTCATTTACGCCTGCTTTTCTGCGTGACTAGAAAATGGCTGATTTGGACGCTATGTAGCAGCTTTTACAAATCACTGGTCTTCAGGTGCATGTGTCATCAGTTTTTATCTGGGTCGATTTCTTACCTTGCTGCCACAGTAACGTGTATTGGCCATGTTCTCGTTAAAACACTAACCGATTTTTTTTTTCGCTTTCACTGCTACACACTATTTGTTCCTTTGGCCTCACTAGCGAATCTTTAACTCGATATTTTCGATCAGTTACAATAGTTGCGAAGCAAGATTTTGATGCGATTTCAACGCAAGTTCTAGCGAGTTCCGGGTGTATGCGAACTCAGCCACGCGGGTATTCTTGCCTCCCACGACCTTGATTGATTAATATGTGGGGTTTAACGTCCCAAAACCACTACATGTTTATGAGAGACGCCGTTTTGAACGGCTCCGGAAATTTTGACCCCCTGGTGTTTTTTAACGCGCACCTAAATCTGAGTGAGCACATGGGCCTACAACATTTCCGCCTCCATCGGAAATGCAGCCGCCACAGCAGGGATTCAATCCCGCGACCTGCGGGTCAGCAGCCGAGTACCTTAGCCACTATACCACCGCGGCGGGTCCGACAACCTTCGTAATTTGTCAAGTGACAAGGGCACTTCTCAGCTGAGCGCCCTCGCCATAGAAACATCACAGCGTGTCTTGCCCATTCATTACGAATGTAATTCAATCTAGCGTAAAATGGGTCATTCAAGATAGGTAAGTGTGAAGTGACCGAGTGGTCTCTCGCATCATTTGCGCCTGCTTACCATCGATTAACAACGCCTTCGTAGCCAGTCGCTGAACCTTCAGTCACGTAAACACCAGATTTTATCAGGTAAATATACGAAGCTTTTGTTGAACATTTAAATTTTATGTTTACGCCACACCCAACCCGATTTTTCTGAGTGCGAAGGCATAGTTTGTCCTGTTTGCTTTAGTTAGATTTGCTGCGAACCGTATACGAGATGAAGTTACAGTGAAGACCAACGGAAAAATTTTACAACTAGGAGTTCTCTAGCGCACCAGAGCACACGAGAAGACCCATCAAAATGCGACCGAGAACCTAAATATTGATCTAGAGGTCAACAGAAAAAGGCACCACCGCTGTGCCACATTGACGCCTCCCAAATTTCACATGGTTGTGAAAAAAAAAGGCAAACATGCAAGCGTGTCTAGCTCTTGCTGATAATTAAGCTTTTATTAAACAGTGCACTTACCTGCTGCTAAAAGCATCGCGAAGCATCGGCGGCGCCTCATGGTTCAGCCGTGTCGATCGTTCTCTGCCACCCTTCGATGCTGCCACAGAATGCAGGTGGGGCGGGCCTCACGACCATAAGCTCACGATGTTTTCGCCAGGGCAAGCACGTACTTTGTGGTGGCTATGCGAGCCGCAATTCGCGAACTTGACGCTCCCTGCGTGCTATGAAAACCGGCCCTTCACCGGCTGTTTACATCCGCCCCCCGTTGTTGCTTTGTTACTTCAGATGCTGGAATGTTCTCCCCCTCGCAGCCAATAGGAGTGGTCCGCCGGTGCTTGTAGTTAGTTAGATGATCGGCTTTCGAAGCGAAAGGTTTTGGTCAGGTACGGGGGGTTTCGCGATAGCGCGTCGGGTGGATGCAACGCTCACCGCTGACGTTTTACGGGAAGCTCATACGTGCGTTTCGTCGGAACAAAGTGCCGATGCTGATTGCCCTGTAGTGTTGCGCTTTGCTTGCACATGGGTAATCTTGCTCTTCAAATTACTACTGTGCAATGTAGTACGCCCAGCACCAAAAGCTTGCAGACCACGTAACGTTCGAAGAAACAAAAACCATACTAACGATGTCACGTACACGTACTCCAAATAAGTGTTGAAGCCTGAAGTTAGTATTGTGCACGATATTCACCAGCTAGATTAGAAACATCGTACCCTTCACTACAGCGTCTCTCTAATTGACTAGAACTTCACATTTCTTGTATAGTCTCTGCCCCTTAAATAGTTTCTTTTCGGTGTACAAATGTAATCAACTAAAAATTGTAAGTACATAAACGTTATAGACTACGACCATGTAAGGCAATAAAAGAATTTCAGTATCTTTTCATGTCTTGCTATAGAATAAACGTGACTTCTCATTTGCAACATTTCAACGCAATGCTGCAACAGTGCAATGGCTATCACGACTTCAATGCAGCGTCAGTTGTTGGGGCTAATCTGCTTCATGCGGATGCGGTTGAACCCTTATTGATTTATGAACCGGAACAATGTAATGTGTTGGTACTTCGAAGCATATTTTTCAATCAGTCAGTGTCGTCAGAGCGTTAGTCGGTTTTTCCAGAATAGTCTGTTTAAATAACATGTGTCGGCTCGTAAGGCTCCGGTACCACACATTCAACGTGTGTGTGTGTGTTTTTTTATCTTTTTTTGCTGAGTCACTAACTCAAGCGCCTTCTGATATACTAAAGCTCTTTGTTACCTGGGCGTTTACGTATAGAGACCACGACATAATTATGAAGGGCACCTTAGTGGAGGACTCCACTAATATCGGCCATCTGGTATTCTTTAACGTGCACTGCCAACGATCTCACTGCACGGGAGTCTTACCATTTCGCTACGCCTAAATGTAACAGCCGTGGCTGAGATCGCAGGCGTGACCTTCGGATTAGTAGCCGAATATCTTAACCAATGATCCACCGTGGCGGAGATGCATAAACCAGAAGCGCCGTTAAATCGGATGAGAACAAAAAAAAACGCATGCATTCCTGTGAAATACAATACGATAATGTGTAGTCATGTCAAACAAAGTCACAGTTAACTGTGAGACATTTATAACATGTCAATGTCCTAACTGTTTGTAGCGACCTCTAAGGAACTCTGCTTCTGCCAGGAAAAAAAAAACAGTGGATAGGTGCCAACCTGGGTTCAGTGTTTATGTCACATGGATGCGGAACCTGATTGATTGATATGTGGGGTTTAACGTCCCAAAACCACCATATGATTATGAGAGACGCCGTAGTGGAGGGCTCCGGAAATTTCGACCACCTGGGGTTCTTTAACGTGCACCCAAATCTGAGCACACGGGCCTACAACATTTCCGCCTCCATCGGAAATGCAGCCGCCGCAGCCGGGATTCGAACCCGCGCCCTGCGGGTCAGCAGCCGAGTACCTTAGCCACTAGACCACCGCGGCGGGGCATGGATGCGGAACCTAGAGAGATAGCAGTGGCATTGCTCACTTGACTGAAGCGCTGCGATCTTAGCCTTGCAATGTCTTGTGACTATTTTATGCATGATGAGGCATGCGCTTCACCTGAGATTTCACGGAGGTAACACATCTTCTGTGTGGACTAAAGCGTTACTGCAAGCTTTCTGTTATTGTGCTGCTGAATGGTACTGCAGTTGACGTGTTGAGCAGCGCCGTGACTATGGAAGAAGAATGCTGCGTGAGGAAACATTGAGCGGTGTTCGTTCACTTCCCCTAAAACGAGCGTTCATGGACACTGCGGGCTGCATACTTGGTATGTTCAATTCAATTTTGCAATACAATATAACACTCCCTTTTGTTATAACTGCCTTTGTCAATGTGAGATGCTGCTGAGATGCTTAAAAATTGTGACGTCTCGCTTTGAACGTTCCCAAACTTGGATAAGTTAATTAGGGACGCCGTAGTGGAGGGCTCCAAAAATTTCAACCACATGCTGTCCTTTAGCGTGCACTGACATATTTCACAGTATACACGGACATTTTAGCATTTCACTTTCAGCGAAACGCGATTGCCACGGTCGGTATCTAACTGCGAGCTTCGGATCAGCAGAAAGGCACTGTAACAACAACCCCAGGGCAGTACACGAACAATCTAAGTGATTCAATGATTATGTTGATAGGTTGAACATACACTTTGTATTGTGACTATGTAGGTCATGCTATGGCATACATTTCGTCCACTGTAACATAAAAATATTGTTGGGACATGTAAATCTAGCTTCATAAATTGTCAAGCAAAAATTAAACTGTTTTCTTTAACTCCTATGACTTTATTCCTCATGCTAATCATATGGCCTCCGATTCCGAAGAAATGTTCACAAGCGTGCATCTCGGCGCTCAACATTGTGTGAGCTGCGACCTTGGCTGTAAATGAGCGCGCTGTTCTGAATATGCAGATGCCTAAAATGGTTCATACATTCACGCTAAGGGAGCGTTTCGACGTTGTCTGCCGCGAAGGAGCAGTGGTTAAGGTCCTCGGCTGTTGATGCGCAGGTCGTGGGTTCGATTCCGGCGGTCGCATTTCAGTGGAGGCGAAATGGTTGAGGCGCGTGTACTGTGCGAGGTCAGTGCACGTCCAAGAACACCAGATGATCGAAGCCTATCGTTACAGTGTCTCTCATAATCATGTCGTGATCTTGGGACTTAAAACCCGTGATATTATTATAATTAGCATTTAGGCGTCACTTGAGTTTCCACGGCTGGGACGGCACATGTTGATAGCGTTTTATTTGGCCTATGTATTACCACGACGTTTAGATGGTGGTGTTTACGTTGCATCGCCTTTTTTCTTATATATATGCTGTTTTAGCGCTGTGTGCCAGAAATCTGCCATTTGCTTTCCTTCCACGGTAAATCGTAAAAATAGGAGGCAGCCACTTCGCTGCTGCTTCTTGCAGACAGTGGGGAAAGCGAACGTGTTCTTTGAGCCCATTTAAAGGTTTAGAAAAAAACAGTTAATAATCACGCGTTAGAGCTGAAGATTGAGCAGGACACTTGCGTGTTTAATAGGACTTGCTCTTTAATCCTGGCCAGATTGTGCTGCGACGTGGCTTCGTTCTAATTTCTTCACAGGAACATCCGGTTTGACCACGGCCGCCACTCTTATCACACCATTGCGCTCGGTTTCATTATCGTGAATCGGTGATGAACGACAAGTCAAGTTAGTCGTGATTTTCTTTTAGATTTCTGGTGAAATAATGATTGATTGATATGTGGGGTTTAACGTCCCAAAACCACCAGTTGATTATAAGAGACGCCGTAGTGGAGGGCTCCGGACATTTTGACCACCTGGGGTTCTTTAACGTGCACCCAAATCTGAGTACAAGGGCCTACAACATTTCCGCCTCCATCAGAAATGCAGCCGCCGCAGCCGGGATTCGAACCCGCGACCTGCGGGTCAGCAGCCAAGTACCTTAGCCACTAGACCACCGCGGCGGGGCAAATTTCTGGTGAAATAGTTTGCCATGCGATGTCCTGCAACTTCACTGCACAAACAACAGCGCTGCGGCCAACTATAAAGGGTTAAAGATATGTATTGTATAACGAAACGCCATTCATTTATTTACTTATTTATTTATATCGGATTTTAAATTCAAGCCCTGAGGTATTTTAATGTGTTTTCAACAAAATTTACACGCAATGTATAGTCGTAAAGGCGTTTCCTTTTCGTAAGAACAAAAAAATGCATAAAAATATTTTTTTTGCTCTGATGCAAATTCAGCGCTGTGCAATGTTCGTAAGCACTGATTGCACATGGCAAATGCCAAGCAGGCTTTTTTTTATTTTTTTCAAGTAGCACTTTGCGAATGAAGCCTCGCAAGACTTGCTTATTTTAGTTAACGCTCTGCCAGGTTCTTCTTTTTTCTTTCTTTCTTTCTTCCTTTCTTTTTTTAATCCCTTTCATTCATTCTTTCTTTCTTTCTTTTTTTGATCCCTTTCTTTCTTTCTTTCTTCTTTCTTTTTTAATCCCTTTCTTTCTTGGGTTCTTTCTTTGTATTTCCATCTTTCTTTATTTATTTTTATTTATATATTTTGCATACTTTATTATTGAACATAATCATCAGAGGTGAATATAAGGTATTTTTCAATGGCGACATGATCAGCTCTTGTTGAAATCGTCACCTCTCTTTCCCTGAAGCTAATTGCTTTTGTATGCATCAAGTTGCTCCTGTTTTTGTCTTTGGTAACACGATGTTAGGAAAGAAAAAGAATACACCGAGAAAACAAAAGTGACGATATTGCTCTCGCTTTCTCAAATTTCGTGTGATGTCAGCATTTCCCAGCTTGCTTGCAAGAACGTAAAGGCTCCGTCATACCACTATACACTACAGTGTAAACGCCGGATCGTTGCGCATGCGCAAACCGATGTGGTCTCATTTCATTGGTGTGTGCAACTATTTACGGCGTTGCAGTCAGTGTTTACAGGAAATAATGTGAACAATTCTAACTATGCGCACGTGTCGAAAAGGCTTAGGTACAAAGAACCTCGCACACTCCTTTTAATGCATTTCTTTGCGTACTGCGGGCCATTTGAGCATCTATCTATCTATCTATCTATCTATCTATCTATCTATCTATCTATCTATCTATCTATCTATCTATCTATCTATCTATCTGTCTGTCTGTCTGTCTGTCTGTCTGTCTGTCTGTCTGTCTGTCTGTCACCTACGAATACAGATGCGGCTGTTT